GAAGGCTGAGGCAGAGAGACACTGCCAGCCGCGGCCATGACCAGCAACATGTGAAGATGCCGGTAAGCCACCAGCCACGTGGCAAGGTATAGATTTATGGAAATGGATTAATTTAAGGTATAAGAACAGTTAGCAAGAAGCCTGCCACGGCCATAGAGTTTGTAAGCAATATAAATCACTGTGTTTATTTGGTTGGGCCTGAGCGGCTGTGGGACTGACGGATGACAAAGATTTGTCCTGACTGTGGGCAAGGCAGGAAAACTCTAGCTACAAAAAGGTAATCAAATAATTAGTCCTGAGGTATCCTTTGGGGACCTATCCAAGAAATGAATCCATTTTGGGCTTCTGCCAAAGCTCCTTCTGTCCTTCTAGAGCAGCAGCTCTGCCTGCCGTCACTCCGCGTCTACAGAGACCTAAGCCTGGAAGATGGCTCCACGGGTAAAAGTAGTTGTTGTCAAGATCCTTAACACAAATTTGACCTCATGAACCACATAGTGGAAGGAAAGACCTGACTTTCCCACGTCTTCCATGCACATGCCTCCATTCCACAAACAAAATGAAAAAAAAAAAAAAAAAAAAGAGCATGCCAAAGGAAGCCAGCTGATACTCACCTCAAACCATACATGCACTGTGCGATTATTCATTTGTGCACATACACACAAAACCACATCCAAAATACACCTAGACACACACACATGAAAGAAAAACTTTTAAATGGGTTATTGATGGCTGGGCTGGGGCTCAGTTCGTAGAATGCTTGCCTAGCATGCATAAAACCCTGTGTTCAATCCCAAGCATTACATAGGCTGTTTGTGGTGGTGCATGCATGTTATCCTAGCATTCAGGGAGGCTGAGGTAGGAGGGTCAGAAGTTCACAATTATCCTGGCTATATACAGAGCTATATGGTGATTTTCAGGCTAACCTGGGAAACATGAGATCCTATCCCAAACAAGCAAGCAAGCAAGCAAACAACAAAAAGAAAAAGAATCCTTGGGGTGTGGTCAATGGGTGGCACATGCCTCTCATCCCAGCACTCTGGAGGTAAGGCAGGATGATCAGGAGTTCAAGGCTTTCTTTTATTCCATAGAGAGTTTGAGGCCAGCCTTAACTCATGTTGGAGATACCACATGGGGGTTATGTGCACTCGTTACTCTTTCAGAGAACTTGAGTCTCCTACACACATTTCGGGGACACACACATATACACATATTAAAAAAACAAAAACAAAACAACAAAAACGTTAAAAAGAAGGGTGCCAGCCAGGCATGGTGGCACAATGCCTTTATTTGTTGTTGTTTTTTAATTTGTTTTTGTTTTTCGAGACAGGGTTTCTCTGTGTAGCTTTGGAGCCTGTCCTGGATCTCACTCTGTAGACCAGGCTGGCTTCGAACTCACGGAGATCCGCCAGGCTCTGCCTCCCGAGTGCTGGGACTAAAGGCGTACGCCACCACGGGCCGCCTTTAAATCCGTACTCTGGAGGCAGAGGAAGGAGAATCTCTGAGTTCCAGGACAGCCTGGGCTACACAGAGAAATCCTGTCTCGAAAAACGAGGAGGAGGAGAAGGAGAGGAGGAGGAGGAGGAGGGGGGAGAGGAGGGGGGAGAGGAGGGGGGGAGGGTACCCTCTTAGGTACACACAGCTCCCCGTATCCGTTTCTGAAAGTTCTCAACGGATCCTTCATCAAATCGCCCTAGCTCAGCTCTTGAGTCTTCTCTTCAACTGTGTGCCTCGCAAACTTGCGGTCCTCGCCCCGGCCAGTAACAGGTAACTAGATCACTTACCCTTCCAACGTCCCGTGTCCCCCGGGCTCGGCCCTCACCCCCTCTCCTCACGAAGCCATCCTTCACGCCCTCTGTCCATCACTCCAAGCTCTGCCACACCTGTCCCCATCCTCGTCCCGCCCCCGCCTGTTACCTCCCTGCCTGGGCGCCGCACCTGGCCTGAGCCTCGTCCAGGCTCTGGTCGGTGATGGCCATGATCTGCTGCAGGACGTCGCTCGTGTCGCGGCCCAGTGGAGCTGCGGGCGCCCGGCGGCGCGGGGCGGGCTGCGGCGGCACGGGACGCGGCGGGGCGGCCATGGGCATGGGCCGGGCAGCGCGGAGGGACAGGTCCTGCCCAGAGTTCTCGCGCGTGCGCAGCAGCCAACCGCCGCAGACCCAGGCGCCACGCCCCCTCACGCTCACTAGCCAATCGCCGCCGCGTACCGCCCACGGACACGCCCCGCAGGCGCCGTTCACCAATCGGCGCGGAGCACCGCTCCTCCCGCCTGACGCGCCCTAAACAGTCTTTTCAACGGATGCTGAGGGACCGGTGGAGGGTTGTCTAGGAGACTGCGATTCTCTTCGGCATCCTCCCCAGGACCCGCGCCCCGCGCGCCGTCTCCAGCCCCACGCACTGTCCCCCTTCCCAGCGACTGGCTAGAAACTAGCCTTCTCAACGGCCACCGAGCCCTAGTCGAGAGTTGCCATGGAAACGATGACCACCACTTTATGGCTCCAGTCCCCATCAGAGGACCACACTCCTTCTCTCTGGTCCCCGTGTCGGCTCAGGTTCCCACTTCTTCACAGGACCCAGGTTCTTCGCAGCCCCCAGAACCCGCCCCCTCCAATCTCTGAGTTTCCTTCCTCGGAGGCCTGCATCCTCACCGCCTCCACTTCTTCAGAACTTTTCAAAAATTTGTGGGTGGACATGGTGGCACACGCCTTTAATCCCAGCATTTATAGAAGAAGCAGATCTCCGTGATTTCGAGGCCAGCCTGGTCTACAAGTGAGTTTCAGTACAGTCTGGGCTAAGTACAGAGACCTTGTCTCAAAAATAAATAACTTGAGACAGAGTCTCATGTAGCCCAGCCCGGCCTCAAATTTGTTATGTAATGAAAATTGACTGAATTTGCTAGTGGAGCATGATTCAAGCTTCTGGTTTTCTGCTTCTACCTCCTAAGTGCTGGGATGCCTGATGTGTGCTGCAGAGTCCTATTTGTGTGGTGTTAGGAATGGAATCCAGGGCTTCGTGCATACCAGGCAACCACTGTACCAACTCAACTACACCTGTTTCCTAGTTTTTCAACTGTGGAGACAGGGTGTTGTATAGGCCAAGCTGACATCAAATTTACCAGCAGCAGAAAATGCCCTGGAGCTCCTCAGAATTCCCACTCCCCAGTCCTGCCTCTTCCTCAGGGCCTCCGTTTCACAGTCCTTCCCACCAGTCCTGAGGGCCCTCCACACCCTTCTCAGAACTCTGCAGACCTCAGAGCATCAATGACCCTGTCATGTGACTTTTTTGGGGGGAGCCATCCCTGATAAGAGGATAGCCTGACCAAAGAGACAGTTTGCCTCACGTCCAGTATTGTGAACCAGGGACTTTATTGAGGTTACAGGAGCAGGGGCAGCTACAGCTGAAGTGTGTCACTCACACTCTTGTGAGAAGGGCCCCGTGTCTCCTCTTTCTACAAGAGCACATTAGTGGTCCAGTCTTGTGAGGTCCTGTGGGAATGAACACAGCTGCTGAGTCAACATGGCAGAGGCCATATCCAACCTGGAGGGATAGCTATACAACTGTTCCCACAATCCTGGGCCCCTGTAGGGTCCCTTCTGGCAGGTTCCCCAGAACTGTTTCCTCTATGCCCCTTATACCTGGCTGAGAGGCCAGATGACGGCCGGAAGGAAGCTAGGACTGAGCACTTCTCTCCACTAAAGTCAGCTCTGTAAACTGTTTTAGCAAAATCCAGTTTAGGAATGACCTCAACCTGTCTGTTCTTTTAAATATTCTGTCGTGTGTGCGTGTGTGTGTGTGTGTGTGTGAGAGAGAGAGAGAGAGAGAGAGAGAGAGAGAGAGAGAGAAAGAGAGAGAGAGGGGGGGGGGCACGCCTTTAATCCCAGCACTCGGGAGGCAGAAAACAACTCTCAGGACTTGGTGCTCTCCTTCCATATGGGCCCAGGGATTGAACTCATGCTGCAGGCTTGCCAGAAAGCACCTTTACCTGCTTGTCTTAGGCCTGTTCATTCCTTCAAACCCCAGCATTCCAGGTCTAGCAAATGCTAGCATGTGTCTAAAAAAATGAATGCCTACTCTTGGGCATACCCCAAGTGAGTCAGAACTCTCATGGGCCTTTTGTTTGGCATTCATGACATGACAACAGGCTCAAGAGAAAGAAGAAGGGACACAAATCTCTCTGCAAAGTCACAGAACCTCCCAGCATCTGTTTGATCTGCGACAGGATTCAGATGAAGGCTCGGTGAGGGTTAGCATGGCTGGAAAGCCATCATCTTTGTTCTGTCAAGCAGCTGGTGGGGAATGGTGAGACCTAAGGGGCACCCGGCAAGAATGCAAAGGATGAGGGAAACCTGGTGAAGGAAACCATAGGCTTGGCCCCAGCAACAGGAAGTAACAGAACCTTGAAGGGGGCGAGGGTGGAGCCCTGTACAAAATGTCAGCCCGTGGTGCAGCACTATGCAGGCCTGGTTTGGTGGAAGGGAGAGGACTGTGAATTCCAGTGGTCTAAAAAGACAAAAACCTGATGTCATCCAGCAGAGGAGAGATCAAGCTGGGCTGAGGGAGGGGAAAGATAAGCAGTTAATGTGTGAAGACTAGAGTTCAGAACCGCAAAAATCCACATAAATGCAGGTGTGGACTCCAGCCTCGAAGGGCAGTGACAAAGGACTCCCTCCCCAGGACAGCTGCCCGGTGAGACGGTCGGGTTTGACTGAAAGGCCCTGCTTCATCGAGCCCCAGCGAGGATTCCTGACACAAACCTCCACATGCACACAAAGGTACAAGAACACCCACATTCGTGCAAACACATGCGCACGGCTAGGCACTCTCTAATCCCAGCTCTCAGGAGGCAGAGGTAGGTGGATCTCTAAATTCGAAGCCAGCCTGGTCTACAGAGCGAGTTCCAGGACAGCCAGGACTACATTGAGAGGAGACCCTGTCTCAAACAAACAGAAACAAAAAACATAACACTTATAAAGTGGAAGAAGGAAAGAAAAAAAAGCTGACAAGTCCCTCAACACAAGCTGGACAACGACGATGGAGGACAGACCTAAGTACAGGGGAGAGCTGACCAGCGGGGGGTCCCAGAGGACTGGACTGGCTGCCTCAATACCCAAAGTGACACAGGTCCAGCAGGCCTGGAACTCCATGGACGTGGGGACAGGGTCCTTCACGGACACCTGGCAGTTCCTGGGTTGTCCCCTTGAGAGACTCTGGCTGTAGTGCACACTGCTCACATTGGATCAAGTACTACCCAGGCCCTCAGCTCAATCTGTGTCCTCACAGAGGCAGGGATGGGCATTTTCCCTTTGGAAATGGTTCCTGTGACAGAGCTCTGTGGTGGGGAACTGCCTAGTGTGTGCAAGGTCCCAGGATGGGGAAAGCAGAGAACATTTACTGTAGAGACAGAGATGTTTTCAGTTCTTTGGAAATGGATGCTTTAATGCCTGAAGAATTTGGCTTAAGATAAGATAGAGGTTCAAATTCCTGCTGTTGCTCGGCATGTGGATGCAAAGTGAGACTATAACTCTGGCTGCTCTGGTGAGGTGGAGCAGGGAACCACGCTCATGGTCCACACTGACTGCCAGGGGCTCCTCTGGGCAGAGATAGGGCTCATCTTAGGCCTGGCATATCTGAGGCCTTGGGGGATAAGGGGTAAAGTCCAGGTAAGCTTGTGACTTAATTCCAGGCCCCATGGGACACGGAAGCCCCTTCCTCGGGGAGTTTTCTGTCCCTCTTGGCATGTCTGTGTCATTTCCAAGCTGTGTAGTCAGACACCGGCTCCATCTGCACATGCTGTCTCGGGCTTGTCATCCCAGCATCAGGAAGCAGAGGCAGGAAGACAGCTGAGAGCTGGAAGTTAGCCTGAAGCTACACAGTGAGTTCTAAAATGGCCTGAGCTATGTTGTGAGATCTTGTGTCTCAAAATAATAATAATAACAACAATAATATTAATAATATTAATATTAATAATAAAACAATAACAATACTGGGGGTGGCAGGTTGAAAGAATAGGCTTACAAAAACCAGAACTCACCCTGGGTTCTTGAGGAGGGAGACAGGTAGAAGGACAGTCGACAGAAAAGAACGACACAAGACTCCAGGAAGAGACAGCAGCCCGGATGGCAGTGCATAGTTCTAACCCCAGCACACAGGATTTGCAGGCAGGACGGATGCAAGTTCAAGGCTAGCCCTAAAAAAAAAAAAAAAAAAAAGCTGGGCGGTGGTGGCGCACGCCTTTAATCCCAGCACTTGGGAGGCAGAGGCAGGCGGATCTCTGTGAGTTCGAGGCCAGCCTGGTCTACAGAGCGAGATCCAGGAAAGGTGCAAAGCTACACAGAGAAACCCTGTCTTGAAAAAAAACAAAAAAAAAAGAGGCGGTGGGTGGGGGGTGGGGGGGGGGGGGTTGGGTGCAGAATAGGAATGAGATCAGGGCCAGGGGATTCCATGTTGAAGGATTCTCAACAGCTCTGAGCCATGATAGATAATTCCAGGACACAGGGGCAGATTGTCTGAATTAATGGCAAAAAAACCAACCAACCAAACAACCCTGGCAGCCTCAGAGTGGAAAGGCTTGCCCTGTACAATGTGGTCCCTCCATACTAATAGAGGCAGGTGAGCCTTCAGAGGCTGCTCAACACTCCCAAGGTGTCAGCTTCAGTACCAGCACTTGGGAGGTGGAATTCAAGGCCATCCTCAACTATACATGAGTTCAAGGTCAGCTGAGGCTACATGAGATCCTGTCTCAAAAAAACAAACACAAACTAGCCTCAGGAATACATCACACCTATAGCCTCTAACAGTGGGTGGTGTAGCCTGGGACAGCTCTCACCTTCCCCCCCCTGAACACCTACAGCACCACTAGGAAGAACCAGTCCACAGGACATGCCAGAGATATTCAGTAAAACTATGAAATGTCTGTTAAAAAAAACCAAACAACTAAAACCTGAGATGACTGAGAGTCAGATTGCCAAGCCCCTCTGGATGCTCTCCCATGTGCATGGAGATGTCCCCAAATCCCTGTGCCCAGAGGAAGGCAGATCTGTGGGCTAGGGGAGTATGGAGGGCCATACATCTGCTGGGCTGGATGGAGTCAGGAGAACTGCAAGTGGCCATGGCGTGCAGACAGACGACGCTCTGGCTGCCCGTCTCCCGCCTCAGTCCAAGGAAGCTAAAGGGTGGAGTCCATCAGTGGGTGGCCATTCTCAGGAAGCATGATTCGGGTACTGGCACCCGTCTGGGCAGAAGATGAGTAGCGGGCAGATTTGTGGTTGGACCAGCGGAAGCACATGCAGCAGAGGAGGCGGCGGAAGGTGCGGCGCATCTCGGCATCTCGGCAGGAGTACACCACTGCGTTGACCAGTGAGTTGGCCTCAGCCAGGAGCAGGAAGTACTTCTCCACAGCCAGGACATTGCAGGATTTACAGTCCAGACCATCTAGGAGCAGCACCACCTGGCCTGGTGTCCAGCACACCACGAATGCCCCTGCAGGACAGAAGCGGGGAGTTGGGGGGTGGGGTGGGGGTGGGATTGACGATGGTGAGCAACCAGGAGACTTGTCTGAACCGCTCTGTGCTCAGGCATATACCACACAAGCTCCCTGTAGGGGCAGAACTGCTAGGAGGGGAGAGACACTTTTCTCTAATTTACCTGCCAGAGGGATTCCTTTCCTAACTGGGGTAAAGTAGCCCAGGGCCCCGGAACCTTCTATAAGAGATTTGTTCACTAAAGGATGGGACAGGAGTTCATCATGGGACAGGCTGGTTACAGAGTAGTGGCCAGGAATCAATGGGGAGAACCAGTCCTGGACTAGGAATAGATCTCCTCCTATGCTAACAGCCTCAAAGAGGGACTTATTGCTAAGACTGAGGACTCAAATTCAATTCCCAGGACCCACGTGGAGGAAGAAGAAAACTAATTCCCAGACGTTGTCCTCAGACCTCCACACTGAAGTGCATGTGTACACTAATCTGTGCACACATACACAAAATAAACAACAAAAAAATTTATTTTATTTTCGGGTGGTGGTGGTACACACCTTTAATCCCAACACTCGGGAGGCAGAAGCAGGTGGATCTCTGTGAGTTTGAGTCCAGCCTGGGCTACAGAGTGAGTTCCAGGACAGGCTCCAAAGCTACACAGAGAAACCCTGTCTCAAAAAAAAAAAATTATTTTATGTACGTGTGTAAGCCAGATGCATGTGGGTACTGTCCTGAAGGCTAGAAAAGGGCATCAGATCTCCTGGAGCTAGAGTTGCAGGTGGTTATGAGCTGTCTAATGTGGGTATTGGGAATTGAACTTGGGCCCTCTGGAAGAACAGAAAGTGCTCGTAATCACGGAGCCATTTTCTAACCTCCAAAAATAATAATTAAACTCCAAAGGGGAGCCAGGTGTGGTGGCACACGCCCATCAACCCAGGGAAATAGAGACAGGAGGGTCAAGGAGGGCTTCAGGGCCTGCCTTAGCTACATATAGAGTTAAAGTCAGCCTGGAATCCATGAAACCATGCACTAAAAAAATAACCAGGCAGGTGGTGGTGGTGAACACCTTTAATCCCAGCACTCGGGAGGCAGAGAGGCAGGTGGATCTCTGTGAGTTTGAGGCCAGCCTGGTCTACAGAGTGAGTTCCCAGACAGGTTCCAAAGCTACACAGAGAAACCCTGTCTCAAAAAACCAGAAAAAAAAAAAAAAGTCTGGTGTGGTGGTGCACATTTTTAATGTCAGCACTCAGGAGGCAGAGACAGGCAGATCTGTGTGAGTTTGAGGCCAGCCTGGTCTACAGAGTGAGTTCTAGGATAGCCAGGGCTATGTAGAGAGACCCTGTCTCAAAGAACAAAACCAAACACCTCTGTGTAGGCTGGCTGAAGGGGCATCTATTCCTCTTTGGAGGCTTTGCCTGGTCCTGCCACTGGCTGTTCATCTTTTGTCCTCTTTTCCTTTCCCCTACATTGAAGGCCATCTCCCTGGAGAATGTCCCCTCCCTTCCTGCAGTATCAACCCCAGCTTCCCAGGGTCCTATGGAGGTAGGGTCCCTGGAGCTGCTTCAGAGCACCACTCACCCAGGATGATGACAACAGTCTTGACTAGGCTGAGTGTCGTCTCTCGGTAGCGGGGATAGCAGCTGACATGCTCCGCCATGCGTTCCACCCGTCTACGCACGTAGAAGAAAATGCGTGTGTAGACGGCTACCATGAGCAGGAAGACAAGCAGGCTGGACAGGGCCCACGCGGCCAGGTAGGAGCGGCTGAACAGGGGCACCATTCGTGAGCAACTGTCCAAGTCACAGAGGCAGTGCCAGAAGTGTGCCGGCAGCAACCCCAGGCCCAGGGCAGCCACCCACACACCCACAATGAGTGTGACCACTCGGCCGCGGGGCAGGCGGCTGTGTAGCTGTACAGCCATCACACTACGGTGCCGCTCCACAGCGATGGCCAGCAGTGTGGCCACCGATGCCGTCAGGCTGGTGTCCAGAAGGCCCTGTCGCAGGAACCAGCCTTTGATGGAGAGCCTGGCGGTTCGTGGGCCAGTATGGAACATGAGGAAGAGGTAGGCCATGCCAGCGAAGAGGTCCGCGGCAGCCAAGTTGCCGAGCAGGTAGTATATGGGCTGGTGGAAGCGTCGATTGGAGGCGATGGCTGCGATAACCAGCAGATTGGTGAGCAGCACCAGCACACTGACCGTCAGCCCCAGAGCCACCACCACCACATCCTTGGGGCGCCAACGAAGGCTGAGCTCCTTGCCACTGTTATTATAGAAAAAGCCGATGGTCTCGTTGTAGTAGCACTGACCCATGATGACCACCTGTGGGTATGGAAAGAGAGAAGTCAAGGGAGGCATGAACAGGCAGTGGTCAGAGGCAAGAATCAAGATTGGCCGGGCGATGGTGGCGCACGCCTTTAATCCCAGCACTCGGGAGGCAGAGCCAGGTGGATTTCTGTGAGTTTGAGGCCAGCCTGGGCTACAGAGTGAGTTCCAGGAAAGGTGCAAAGCTACATAGAGAAACCCTGTCTCGAAAAAAACCAAAAAAACCAAAAAAAAAAAAAAAAAAAAAAAGAATCAAGATTGGGTGAGTGCAACCCACAGACTCAGAGGCCCTCTGAGCAAGGTGTCTGTGGTGAGAGCCAGAGTGACCTAAAATTCACAAGCTCTGTTTATCTACTCATAAAGCAGGGTCTCACTATGTATCCCATCTGGCCTAGAACTCCCTGTGAGACCAGGCTGGCCTCAAAATCACAGAGATCTGCTTGCCTCTGCTGAATGCTGCCATGACAATTTTAAAAAAGATCTCTCATCAGCGGGATTTTCTGTTTGTTTTTGGGTGTTTTTTTCTTTCTTTCTTTCTTTCTTTCTTTTTTAAAATCGGAAGAATCCACAGCCAATGTATCTACAATGCAATTCAGGGCCTCGTGCCACCGGTCTGCGGCCAGATTGGACACCTGTGGTTTCCGAGGGGTGTGGGAGGGTTGGCCCGGGCAGCACAGGCGGTGTGAGCCGCAGGGCCAGCTTGAAGATCACACTGGGGCCAGGGTCCTTGCACGGTGCAGAGGCCAGGGGGCGTGTGCACACCAGAGCCAGGTTCCTAGTCAGCACCCGGAGGGCAGTGCCAAGGCACAGAGGTGACTTAAAGTCAGCAGAGTAGACAAACCGCCCCAGAAGTTGAGTTACAGGCAGGATTCCGTTCAAGAGCTCTGGAAGCTGGCCATTTCGCGGTGGGACGGAGGACCAAGAGGCCTCCGGGACAAAAGAGGGTGTTGCAGACAACTCTAGGCTAGAGAAGGGCTGTGGAGAAGGCGCGCCTCGCTCTCCCTGGAAGCCTGCACCCACCCTGGTCCGGTTGGTGCTCATCTTACCTGGGCCTCTAGTCAAGCGGCAGATGGGGCGGGCTCGCGGGGGGTCGAGACAGGACTAAGACCCATGGCCGTGCTGTGGGGCGGTTGCGCAGCTGCGTCCGGTGTGCTTGGAGCCCCAGGCCGAGGAGGCGGGAGAGGCGGGCCCTAAGGCCACGCCCCTACCTGCCCCAGCTCTTGGCCCCTGGGGGGTGTCCCGCCCCCTAGAGCGTACCACCCCCACGTCGGAAGTACGGTCTTCTGAAACGGCGGCAGTCCCACCTCCTCCCTACAGCCCCGTTTTCCCACGTGGGACACCCCTTCTACTACGTCTCCCGCGCACCTCACGTGCTTGCCCTTTCGCGCCTTTGGGGCTGAGTCACCTGGCAGCTGGAAAGATCCGCAGCGGTGGCCTCTGGGGCGCCCCCCTGCTCCTGTCCAATCCTCTACCGAGCTGCAAGCCCCGCCCTGCCGTGGTCAAGCTGGCGGCCGGACCCCCGCCCTGCCGTGGTCAAGCTGGCGGCTGGACCCCCGCCCTGCTACTGCCGTGACACCAGCAAGCGACCCAGACCCTGTGGGCCACCCTGGCTCCCCGTGGTCTCCCCTCAGCCTGCCACTGGCTCTGGCCTGCAGCCTCCTCTCCTGGCCTCCCCCGTCCGTAGCACACAGCCCCATTGTCTCGATTATCTGCACCGGGTTGTATTTGATTATGTAGAACCGGATCAGGGACACAGAGCTCTCTGGCAGGGCCTGAGTGACTCATCTGGGGCTCCAGGCCCTGAGCCTGTGGGTTTCAGAGGGTGGTTTTCAGAAGCCTTGGCTCATCAGGTCAGTAATAAAGGGTAAAAGACACTGCTCCTACTGGTGACCTCATCTTTGTCAGCCTTCCCGACAAAGACAGATGTGCAAGAACATAACAGGATTTTTTTTATTTTTTATTTTTCGAGACAGAGTTTCTCTGTGGTTCTGGCTGTTCTGGAACTCACTCTACAGACCAGGCTGGCCTTGAACTCAGAGATCCTCCTGCCTCTGCCTCCTGAGTGCTGGAATTAAAGGCGTGCACCACCACTGAACAGTGGACTTTTTTTAAATTAAAATTTAATTTTATTTGTGCATGTGCCTGTTTATGTGTAGAGGTCAGACATTTTGCAGTAATTGGCTCCCTCCTTCCACCACGTGGGACTGGAAGATGCAGCTGAGATGGGTGAGGTTTTGCAGCAAGCACCGTTTGCTCAGCCGTCTCACCGCGGCAGGATACAGTTTGTTGTAAGAATCCTGACTTGGCCAGCACTTGGGAGGCAGAGTATTTCTGTGAGTTCTATAACAATCTGGTTAACATAGGGAGTTCCAGACCAGCCAGAGCTACATGAGGCAGTGTCTCAAAACAAAAACAAAACACTGACAGACCTAACAGAAGGTGACAGGGCTGAACTGCACCCACCCATTCACTCGGAATCTGTCAAGGAGGCAGCAGGGCCAGGAGCCATGATGATCAAAGCAGTCAGACATCTGTCTCAGAGGTCAGAGACTGGAGTAGACCCCAAGGACCTTTGGACCTGTATTGACCATTGAGTATTGATCCGGAATCACCTGTGCACCTCTTCTGGCAGGGCGATGTTGAAACAGCAACCAAGTGTTTTAGGATTTCCCCAAGATGGGTGGTCTTCCTTACTCAACTCTGGTAACCTCGTCTCTCCCCACACCCCACTGACTTGGTTTGGTCACCAGGTGGGGCAGGTAGGTAGATAGATAGTGCCGTCAACTCAGTCCTGGGTCCCACAGGATGGTAGGTGATCAGAGATGCTCCTCAGATTCCTCAGGCTCAGCATCAGCACAACAAGAGGTCCTGGACACAGACTCACTGTCCAGCTTGGAGAGCAGCCGGGCTGTCTCCTGGGTGATCTCAAAGTGCTTAGGCAGAGGGTTCCGGCGCAGGGGGCTGCCATCAGGGGAGGCAGCAGCAGGGCCCAGGCTTCGTCCCCTCAAACTACCTCTGTGCACTGTTGAGACAGTGACAGGAGTCTCCTCACACAGCTTGGAAGCTACCAGAGCCAAGCTGGACAGTTGATGAGTGACTGGTCGTACACCTCCCCGGGAATACTTCACTGGCTGGCGGCTGAAGTGGCCCCGCGATTGCGTTCCCAGGAGCGAGTCCTCAGGGTTGTGGGTGGACCCTGTGGAGTGATGAATGCTGAGCATGCCCAAGTTCTCACAAGGTACCCCCAGGAGTGACCTGTCAGCCAAGCAACCCTGGGGCAAAGAGAGAGCCCCCAGGACACTCACCTTCCCCTGCCCCATCTCTGGTGCTCTCCACCTCCTTCTCCTCCTTCTGCTCCCTCTGCAGAGTTGCAGTCTGAAGGAAGAAACCCAGAATGTGACCCCCACAGTAACCCCGTTTCGGGGTCTGTGGGGGTGGCTCAGCGGATCGGAGAGTTTGCTGTGCAAGCGTGGGGACGCAAGTCTGAACCAGTCCTTGTAAGAGGTCAGCATGGCTGGGAGCTCATGGGCGTGCCAGCCCTGCTGACATAGTTCGCTGCAAGTTCAGCGGGTGACCTTGTCTCAATACACAGTCTGTACACAGCCAGTGCTCGTCTGTTGCTCACACTCTAGTGCTCATGGCAGCTAGCAGAGCCATCTGGCTAACCTTCTTTTCCAGTGCTAGGAACCAAACCCTAACCGCACACACGCCAGACGAGCACTTTGCCACTGAGATTCATTTGCAGCCTGGTCCTTGCTTCCTTCCTGTTTCCCTCCTCATTACAGTACAGGACTGCACACAGCATGCATGCTCCCACCCCAAGGCCTTTGCACCCGCTGTTCCCACTGCCGGGTACACCCTTCCCCAGATTTTCCCATGCCTCTTTCCACCCCCATGCCACGCTAGTCTTTGCTCAAATCCACCTTTCCATAAGACTTGCCCATAGTATATTCCCTGCTACAAAGTCCTCTAGACCTCACCTTGGGGCATCCCTTATTCCATCCTCTTTTCTGCACAGGACCATGTAATGTTGCATATTTATTTTTGGTCTTTTTCCTCTTGGATCAGACACCAAGAGGAGGTCTTTGAATACCTATCTATTTCACTGGCAGATTTGAAATGGCTGGTGCTGACTGTGCTGGACAGCAGAGCTGGCCCAGCCATTTGGTCCACTACCCGCGTTTACCTCTGCAGCGGTACGAGTCAGACTGGAGTGAGAGGAAGAAATTTTAAAGGGGGAGGTGAAATGGGTCAGTGGGTAAAAGCACTAACTGAGCCATCCTGGTCAACAATCACAAAACCAAACACCGACACATGACTGGCAAGGTGGCTCTGGGTGAAGGCAACCGCCACCAGACCTGATGGTGAGTTTGATCTCCAGACCCTACTTGGAAGAAGGAAAGAACTGGTTCCTGCAAGTCTTCTTCTGACCTACGCCCATGTGCCCCTCCCACTAAATACATAAATACATCTTTTAAAAAAGCTGGATTTGGGGTGAACACCCATAACCCCAGTTCTTCTCTGGTGAGATGGGAGGCACCCGCTGGTCAGCCTGAAGTACAAAGCACTGCAGAAACGAGGCGGGAAAGAGGCTGGCTCTGAAACTTGTCCTCTGACCTCTACACACTAAGTCAATAAGTTTCCTTCCTTCTTCCTTCCTTCTTCCTTTCTTCCTTCCTCCCTTCCTTCCTTCCACTTCTCTCTCTTTCTTTCTTTGTTTTTTGAGACAGAGTTTCTCTATGTAACAGTCCTGACTATCCTGGAAACTCACTCTGTAGACCAGGCTGGCCTTGAACTCAGAGATTGCCTGCCAAATGCTGGGATTAAAGGTGCGTGCCACCATGACCCAGCCTAATAAGACCCTACCTCAAAATCAAATAAAACAATATAAATGAAAAGGCAAGTGTGTTAGGGCTGGAGAGATGGCTCAGTAGTTAAGAGCATTTCCAAGGATCCGAGTTCAATTCCCAGCAACCACATGGCAGCTCACAACTGTCTATAACTCCAGTTCCAGGGGATCTGACACCCTCACAGACATACGTGCAGACAAAAACACCAATGCACATTTAAAAAAAAGGCAAGTGTGTAATTAAACTCAAGGTCACCTTGGCTTGCAGCATGAGTTCAAGGCCAATCTGGCAAACTAAAGGAGGTTGAAGAGGTAAAGGCATCTGCCACCAAGCTTGGCAATTCCGATTTCCAGGACCTACATGCTAGAAGAGAACTGACTCTCCTAAGTTTTCTCTGACTTCCATGAGACCCCCACCTCCACAATAAATAAATAAAATGTAATAAAAGAAATTTGGGCTAGGGAGATGTTTCAATGTTAAAGGTACTTGCTGTCAGTTTAAGAACCTGAATTCCGTCCCCAGGACCCACGTGATAGAAGAGAAGGGCAGGCTGGCCTCTGGCCTTCATGCTCACGCCATG